GGAGGAAAAGAAGGAGGAAGAGAAGGAGGAAAAGAAGGAGGAAAAGATTGAAGAGGAGGAAGAGAAGGATGAAAAGATTGAAGAGGAGGAAGAGAAGGAGGAAAAGAGGGAGGAAAAGATTGAAGAGGAGGATGGGGAAAATCCTGAAATTCGTTGCGAAGCTGAGGAATCTGATTTGGAAGAAAAGCAAGCTTTTCAGGCTGGAAGTGGGGCTGCTGTCATGGGCATATTGTCTTTTCAACTATATGCAATTGCATACGATATTTTTGAATTCAATTTCTGTGCCGCATTTGCCCACCTGCAGGACAGAAAACCATTGCTCCAACAAGCTCCCGAGCAAGACAAAGCCGTGGCGGACAAATGCATAAGGATCATGAATGAGCTCTACAAAGCCCGGAAGCTACAGTGTACGGAGGATGATTTGATTCAGGCCAGCAGTCTCCTGAATAATCATTGGTTCAAGCAAATGCATGCATGCACATGCATGCATGGATCCATGGATCAGTTCATTCAGTCTTATGCACCCATGACCCATGCTCTCTGTCTAGGCGCAACGTAAGATGCGGAAAGCCGCCAAAGAGCAGGAGGCTGAGGGGGAGGATATCGAAGATGAGGGTAGGAAGTTACATGAGGAAGAGAATTCGGATGAGGAACAGGGAAAGAAAGGAAGAGGAAGAGGTCGTGGCCGCGGAAGGGGAAAGGCCAAGGCAAAGGCAGCTGCAAAGCCAAAGGCAGATGCCTCGAGGAAGCGTCAGAGATCCAAGAAGAATTCTGATGAACATGATCATAATGAGGTGTTCAACACGGCCGAGAAAAAGGCAAAGCTGAAGCAAAGTGCTGAGAAGTGGAGCCCAAAGAAGAGCACAGGTCTTCCTTCGACTGGGCCTGCAGAAATGCCTCCATCAAAGCGGACTGCAGCTCACTTGGCCGAAGCAAAGGCTGCAAAGGCCAGCAAGAGAAAGGAGAAGGTCGTCCGAAAGATCGACTTTGATGAGGTGGCAAGCTCTGGAGAGGAGGCTGCAAAGAAGGAAGAAAAGAATGAAGAGAAGAAGACTGAGGAGAAGGAAAAGAAGGATCCGAAGGAAGAAGAGATGCCAGGCCCGAAGAGGAAAAGCCTTCCGAAGAAGAAGCCTTCTGATGCCGTTGGTATGGAAGCTTGTCTTAACAAACCAGGATGGCCACACAGAAAGTTTCACATCACAGATCTGCAAAGCTATTGGATATTTATATTCGATATATTTTCATAAATTATATATTAATATGCACGCATGCACAACTAATTAGACACAAACAGTTTCACTTGTGCGCTGCTCAAGGACCGTGCTGTTGAGCAGTTGGAGATTCTTGAAACCAAAGACCCTGACTACTTTGTCCTTCCGGATGGAGTCAAAGTGGCCGACTTCGTAGCCACGAGCAAACCGGAGGCGCCGAACGAGTACAGGAAGCACCTTGGTCTGAGACAGTGAAACACCTGCCAGTCAGTTCTGTTGCCCTGGTTGGACTCAGCAGTGTGCCTTTCAATGCTGTGGCCCTGGTTGGACATCTCAGGTCTTTCACCTTGTACATGCCGAAGGAGAAACTCAAGATTTATTGCCCAGATAATGGGGTGTGCGCGATTGGAGTTCTGTTCCTTATATTCATTATGTGTTGGTTGGTGGAATCATTCTCCACAGATTATGCATATGTGCACACCATCATCATGAAACTGGAACAAAACGTTACCCAAAAGATATGGCCCGAGGCTTTACACCCGGTCTTTCTATGTGAAGCCAGCACCAAAAGCGCGGGTGAAACAGATCAATGAAACCTGTGGGACTTCCTTTAACGTGACTTGAATTCAATGAAAAACAACATGCACATGTGGTTGTCCATGTAATGCATTTTGGGTGATTGAAATTGCACTGCAGTACAACTGAGGGCAACAATATGGACGGAGTATCCATTGCGTGGTCCAAGTATGGTGGTGCCTTTCCAGCGTGCATCCCTGAACTCCTGAGTTTTCATCTACAGTATTGGCAATGAATGAACTACAGTATTCAAGGATACCCTCTTTTTCTTCAGTGGTCTGAGGTGGGTATTTGCCAAGAAATTGGCTGGATGGGAGGCGCCATGAACATCTGAAAGCTGAGGAGCCAAACGTTTTGAGTTGCTTTCTGGGCAAGGGTCCACCTGCAGGCGAGTGATTGAGGACAACGATTCTGTCGTACGAAACAATTAGCTAGCTAAGTCGTGGGCCTTTGTCCAACGGGGGTTGGAGCACGTGTGCAATCTCACACGTGTGTATACGTATCGTCGAACAGTTTGAAAAGAACACGGAAACACAAGCTGTCCTTGGTTTCGTTTGTTTGTATCATATGCATGATCC